TGCACCGCTCTGAGCTGTCGCCGCCAGCCCTGCGCCGCCGCCGCCGCCGCTGGCACTAACCGCACAGGCAGGCCACCCCCCGCCGCGGCCTGTCCTCCCCCCTGCAGGCCTGGCCGCGCTGCGGGACCTCAGCGTGGCGGTGCTGGCGCGGGAGAAGGGCCCCGCCGCCGCCGCCGCCGCCGACGACGAGTTCCGGCCGGGGCGGCGCTGGGCCAACGCCTCCTGCCTCATCGCCGTCTGCGCCCGCCGCCGGCCCCGCGACGGCGCCGCTCCGGGTGGGCTGCCTTCGCGCTGGAAGGGTTTATTTGGGAGAATCGGATTGGCAGCCCTGCCCAGCTGGAAAGCACCCTCTGGAAGCTTCCAGCTTAAGCGCTCTTTCCTGAGCCGAATTGTACTGCTCCTGTGCCTGCGCCTGTACCTGCACCCGTACTGCAGGACCCCAGGCGCAGTACAACGAGGAGTGGGAGGAGGTGGCGGCGGTGGGGTGCGCGGTACAGGTGCGACCGCCCCGTCCCGCACCCGACCACAGGGCGACTGCCGTGCAGCTACTAGTTCAGGCCAACGCTTGTGCAGGACTCTCCACAGCCTCCGCTGGTTCCCCAGCACGCTCCAAGCTCTGAATGCAAACAGCCAGGCAGGCGGCCGCAGGCAGCGCCGCTGTGCAGCCCCAACAACGCGCAGGGCCAGCGCCGGCACACCCTTCCACCACCTGCTGCCGCTTCTGCAGAACCTGCACCTGATGGCCGCGTCGCTGCCAGGCGGCGTGGTGGGATACTGGTCGTCGTGGTACCGCTGCGCCCGGGATTCCCCAGACATGGCCGCCCTGCTGCACTTGGGCCCGGGCGACAGGTAGGGAGGGAGCTGGCAGGGAGCTGCGTGTGCCAGGGTGGGCGAGGCTGGGAGTGCCCGCATCAGGGCATGCCACCACACAGCCCTGCCTTGCCAGCTTCCGTGTGGCTGGACTCACGCTGTGCCATGGTGCGCTGTCCCCTGCAGGTGCCTGGGCTTTTTTGTGCTGGGGTGCTGCGACCCACAGCTGGTGGGGCAGTTCCGCGCCGCCCGCCCGCCGCCGTCGGTGGACTGGCGCTGACTCCACGCTCGAAGCGTGCGGCGCCGCTGCTTGCAGCCGCCGGCGCCAGCGGCTCTCACAGGCCTGGCGCGCCGCGCCTGGCTGCGGCTGTCGGTCTGTGGACTGGCGCCTGCGCAGGCGGCGGCGCCAGCTGGGGCCGCCAGCCCCGTGGCACCCAGACCACCAGGCCAGCGCAGCGGCGGCCGGCGGCGGCGGCGCGGAACAGTGGAGGCGGGGCGGCGCAATTCCCTCGCTGCGCACATCGAGCTGAAAGCATGCCTCGCCTGCTAGCGGCAGATACTAACTTGTTTCATAGCCAGGTGTGGGCAGCTGTCGGGACGTTGTTAAGGCGGAGAAGCGAGCCGCCGAGAGGCATGGCGCCAGCACAGATGCGGGGGCACGATCAGTACGGAAAGCAACGCAAGCGGCCGGCGCCACCGTGGCGCCGTGGCGGCGCGGGTGCCGCGCTTGGGGCCGGCCCCGGGGAAAGGTGCCAGCAGCTGGCAGCAGCTGGCAGCAGCCGGGCTGCCAGCCCCCAAAGCGCTCCCGTAAGCCCCCTTCCTCTCCCTTCCTCCCCGCCTCGGCCCGCTCTGCCTCAGTCCTCCCGGTCCGTGGACCGCAGCGGGCGGCGCTTGCCGCCGCCGGGGCCGCCGCTGCCGGGCGCCAGGAAGCCCTGCGGGGTGGGCAGGGCAGGTGGTGGTGGTGGTGGGGGGGAGGCACAGGAACGGCTCAGCGGTGCGAGCGTGAGCGCACGGGTGAGCCCCACCCCTGCCACCGGAGGTTG